CATGTTGAATCAGGCTCTTCCTCACAGTCTTCCTTCACGTTCTTAGCATTGCCTCCTCCAACCACCAGGACTTTCAATGTGACTTTATTCAGTATTATCAGGCAGTATTTCTGAGTCAGTCTGTTAGCGGATTTTTCTGCTTGTTTGGGGATTATTTTTTTCAAGTGAACGCACTTTATTCTCAAAGTTCTCAGGGCCCAAATCTAGCACAGCAGAAAGAATGCTTAGAACAAACAGGATCTTTTCAGAACAGGTGAAGAAACAGGACAGATTTTGCAATTCAAGCAACAGCCAATAAAACAAAACCCATCAAAATTATCCTTTTCAAATTACCTCATTAGCATAGCCCCGGTGCTTGCTAAGGGATGCCCTAAGTGACCACCTCCAGCAGCTCTGTGGCCTGGTGGTTCCTCCTGCCCTGAGGTTGGAGCCCAGCCTGGAGAACCAGGTGTCTCTATTGCAGGCCCATGGACACTGCTGCTGTTGCTGCTTTCCTGTTCGCAGGTTCAACCAGTAGCCTGGCTGAGCATACATCCAAGACACACACAGGACACTGATACAGCCAGCAACAGGCAAGGTGCTGCCTTCAACAGTATCTATATATATGACTCATATAAAACAGAAATAGACAGACAAGTCCCCTTCCTCCTTTTTGGCCAGCCAGGGATTGAACGTGTCTCTCTAAAAACCACACGCCCCCACTCTCCACAGTCACAAGCACACACACATTCACAGATCCCTCAAAGTACCAGTACAGCCTCACTGCCCATCCAATAGCCCTGCATGGATCCCAGGCCCTCTTACCCACTTTGAAGGATCTCCTACTTGCAGGCTGGTCTAGCTTGAGGCTCACTAGTAAACAGATGCACACACTTGTTGCTTAAGCACTCCACACTCACAGATCCCCCTAAATATCAGCATGGACCCAGAACCTCCTTCCCACCAGTTGGTTCACCTTGAAGTCTGCTAGCCAATTATACAGGCAAACCTCACACACCCAATATGAGGAAGCTATGCCCCACGCACCGGGCACACAGGCTGTGACCCACAATCCCACTCCAGCCACCAGCACTGAGCCCCTCGCTCCAGTGAGGCCCCCACTCACTCCAACTGCTGGCACCGCAGGCCAGGGGGGCCTACACCCCCCGGCCTGACCCCAATTGCTGGCACCAGATCCACTCACATCTGTCCCCCCAGTAGCTGGCACTCCAGACAGAAAGTCTGTAGGACCTGTGGAGATGCTGCCTAGAGCTATGGTCCTTCCAACTACTGACACAGGCACCTTCTCGCTCCAGTTGCTGGCACAATGGCCATGGGGTTCCTACACCTCCAGTTTGACTCCACTTCCTGGCCCAACTATCAACTCACACTGATCTCCTCAGTAGGTGGCACCTAGCCCTTGCAGCCCTCCCACACAAAGGATAGCAAGTGAGGCAGTGAAAAAAGGACTTAAGAAGATAGGACTGGCTGCAGGGACTAGGCACAGGGCTCAGACAGACAGACCTCCTGACCAGCCAGGGTTTATACATGACTGGCCCCTTTTATACCCTCTTCTGTCTGGTCCCTCTCTGCACAGCTCCACCAACCTCTTCCTCCCACTGCTTTGCCAATTTATGGGGTTAACACAAAAATTGTAGGCACCAAGTTAAAGAGACTGGCTTATTTTACTTTACTTTAAAGCAGCAGAAAGGATGAACAAGGTAATGCACCTAATACTTTCTACATAAGGTTAATACAAAAGTAAGCAGTAGATAACAAACAGGGCAGTTAGGAAATAAGGCAGTGCATCCGGTCATTACTATACTGGACAAGTCACAGTGATTAGGACAGATCCATCACCAATTGCCCTCATACTCCCTCATCTAGATCCGTGCTTCAGCTGGGGAGCCCCGTCACAGCGAAGGGTCGCAGAGCCTTTCCCGGCAATTGGGAAGTCCCACGCAGGGCGTCCGCTCGTAGGTGAGGTCTCCATCTTCGCTGTGAGAGGGTCCAGCTTTTATACAGGTTAACAAACAAATCTATAAATCTATATGATTGACAAAAGGCACGTAAGACATCTGGTGGATTGGCACGCCTTACCATCCTCCTTTGGGATTCCTCCCCAGGCCTGACCAGGGCTCAGGAAGGATCCAAGGGAGTTTGTGTACTCAACCTTGACAGTATGTTTTTAAACTAATAAAGGTCAATATATTCCCATATCTTTTTATCTAAGCTACCTATCTTGCTAATGAGATATTCCATCCAAGGTACATATTTTGCTAGTGATCAGACACTGATATTATATAATGTTTGGTTGTGAGGTTCATCTAGAGGGCAACTTTGGCTCAGGGGCTGTTGTTCAGGCCTTAGTACTTCACCCACTCATACCTGGGACTCCCAGGTTTGCACTCTCACCAGTTTAAAAGTCTAGGTTTGCCTACAGTTTCTCAATGGCCCACCAATTAGCAAGACTGATGAGGTTTGTTTCTTCTGTTTCCTTCACATTTGCCTGTCAGGTTTGTCTAAATTTTCTTTATTGCCCTCCTCTTTTCCCTATAATCCCATTTGACAAGGTCCATGATCAAATAACCTTGCTGAAATAAACACTCTCACATCCCACACACTCTTACCCATTAGCATAGCTGAGGGTGTTTGATTATTGTTCTTATCCCCAGTATTGTCTATCTATCAGGTCTGTGTCTCTGAACATTTGGTTTATTCCTTCCCCCTTGTTGTCTCCTTTTGCACTGAAAAGGTCATTGAGCAGATAACCTTAATGAAGCAGATGCTCTCAACTTCCACATACCCTTACATTCAACACATTCCCCAATTTTATTGCTGGAAATGGTTCTCCTTCACTGACAACACAGGTCATTCTTTTAACTCTTGATCTGCTATTTCTTCTGCTGCTCTCTCACACATTTCTATTGGTGTATCAGTCGTGGCAATTTCAGCATTTACATTACAAATCTGAAATTATGTTTCAATAGGATATCTGAGGCAGAGCTACAGCTGCAGATTTCAACTTATCATCACACTCCATGAAAACAACAGTGAAACACAGAGAAACCATGAAATGCACTGCAATCTCTGAATGTGCCTTAAAACTTGGAGGCAATTTGGAAATTCTTCAGCTGAGAAATTACAATTACATAATTCAATTTTAACACTTATTCAGAGATAGTACAAAAATTTAAAAAGGAAAAAGCACTCCATACTCCATGGCACTTGGCAATGAACCTGATCCACAGTCCTACAGATATAGACTCAAACCCAGCAACACCACTGCAAAAGTCATGGGCATTGCAGTCACAGCCAGAAGGGCCGCAGGAAAGAGGCCATTCTTCTCAGGAGGAATGAGATAATACAAATAAACACTATGCCATATATTAGCAATTGGAAGAGCTAGATACAGAAAAAATCTGAATTTGTCATAAGCAACATCTAAACTGAGTTCAAGTTAATTATTCTGAGAGATAAAAGTGAATTTTCTGCAAGCACCATGGACTTCAGGTGTTTGGAAGAGCCATGCTTCACAAGGAGTTTTAAAATTCTAGTTCTCCACAATACCAAGCAACATAACATCAGCAAAATAGATGTCACTGGTCAGAACAAAATGAAATCTTCCAAGATTGTATTTGACTGCTTGATACTATCAACCAAGCATTTATTGCTTATGCTCCTCAGGGAAAAAATGATATTCACTTTTGTCTAATAGCCATAAGCGTGAGAAAGTAACTTTGGCAAAAAATCGGAAGATTTGCAGGAAAAAGGCATTAGTAACAGGGATCGGATTCGTCACACAAATTAACATCTCCTAATATTGTATTCAGAAACATAGAGATAAAAGCTTTTCTAATACTAGCATCAGACTCTTTTATATGGGAATATCCTTGCCTCTGTAGCATAGTTCACGTATATAATTGAAATATATACACATAAATACACATCTATAGCTCATGCTCTTCTAGTTGTGAGCATTACTGTGATGGAAGAGGTCAGCTAACAATAAAGTGGAGTCCAAAGTTGCTTTTTTTTTGATGGAATTATTTTTTAGAATACACCTACATCCCTATGCTACAGCTGCAAACTTCATAGTTTCTCTGCATTTCACTGTTGTTTCCATGAAGTGTGATAAGTAGAAATGCACTTCAGCCTCTGAAGAATTTCTGAGTTCCCTCTAAGTTTTAAGGAACATTCAAAGAACTGTCTTACATCTCCAGTAGTTGTCTCCTTTTAAAAAGATGTATCCTTTCTAATCATTTAACACCTAATGACATATTGGAGAAAAGTTTTCAATCTATGTATGGAAAACTGGCTGAAGTGTAAATTAAGAAGTTAACTGAATTTCAGTCATGGAAAATAACAGTAATCTTTCACAAGCACATACTAGAAGAGCTCTTGGGCATATTTGCATTTTATGGAGACCATTTATACCAGCAGTAAGGCATAATAATAGCTTCAAGATCACAAGAGTGTTTTTTAAAGAAAGTATAGCTGTGATAATGCCTTTCTTCTCTGCTGCTTTGTGAAGTTGCCTGTATACTGTAAGTTACATTATCAACATTCCCACTCATTAAATGATCTCTCTTGCAATTCCTCCCAAGTATAAAATCCCGCAGCTTTTTTAGTTTACATTTTCACTGCCCTTTGCAGTTTTGAAACTGTTGAGAACTTACAATTCCCATGTTTATCAGAAACACATAATAGTCAGAAAGATCCTAGTAGTGTCTATCAATCAAAAGTGTGAAAAAGCAAAAATCTATTCCCTGTCAGCAATGGGAGAGTACTAGAGCCCTTTGAAAAACTGTGGCTGTAACAGTATTAAGTATAGCTTAGAAATACTTGGAGAGACAATGACAGGTTGAGAAGTTTACATTTTCTCCAACCCCATTTTCTCCCCCATTTCTACATCTTCAGTCACACTAATGCTGCTACCTGTGGTGCTTCAGAATGAATCAAATAAATAAATAAAATAGCTTCCATATTTCTAATTAAAAAAAAAAAAATCCATCACTTACTTCAGCAATCTCGTTAGTTCGTCCCTTCAGACAGATGTATAGTACTCACTGGAAAGGCAGGAGTTCCTTACTGGTCTTTTCTCCTAGAAGAGACAATAGTTATTAAGCTGCAAGTGCTCCTTTTACCAAAGTATCAATGACCTGTACCAATAATATCACTGGACAGTCTCCTATGTCCCTGATCACTAATAATACATCAGAGGATCTCCTGGCAGGTTTTGAAGTCCAATTTGCTGTGAAGCAACAGCTTCCTTTTATTAGTGCCCAGTATCAGTTCGTGAGAACAAAGAATAGCACTCACTTAACGCTAACAACTATAACATGTGTTTTCACCACTTCTCCTTATCATTTGTTTTTTTTTTTTTTTTTTTTTTTTTTCTTTCCTCTTCTTAAGAGTCACCAGCAGGCTCTACAGTTTATCACAAGCCCTCATAGTCAGGTTTAAGTAAAGCATGAGCTGCTCTAGGAATTAAGATAGCCGAATGGCACCTTTTTGGCCTCCAGCTCCCTTTACTCTGTTTGCTGTCTTTAGCCTTCCCTCCAGACCCCTTTTAAATTAGGGTGTGGAGAGTACTGATCTCCCCCCTCCTGTGTTCATTTGTTGATTATTAGTCAACAACAAAAAGAAGAAAGGCTCAACATCAAGCTAACAGGTTTATTATTTCACTGAGTAGGACCAGGAGAGACCACAAACACTGTGACAGTCGCACATCTCCAACCCACTGATATGTTGCTCATGGTTGCAGCGAAATGAAACTGAGCAAGCTCATCACACACAGGACTTAAGAAACCACTTCCCTTGTTTGCAGCCCACAGCCAAAAGCCAATAGACCCAGGTGGTGGCTCAGGAGGCCATAGTAAGTAGCTCAGCTGGTCCATTAGGAGATAAAGGTCTGGCAAAGACTGCCCGAGGAGCACACAGCCTCACCTGGCCAGGTGCACCATCTACTCCATCAGAGGTGACTACACAAATGTAACAGGCCCCTTTTTATCATTTTTCCTCACTAAGAAAAAAAGGCAGACAAAAGAACTGGGAAACATTGTTTTCTGTAATTTTCAGAAACGGCTATTAAAATATTATACCGAAACACATTTGCCTGCAGAAAACACATAAACCAGTAACTTGCTGGCTTTTAAGAAGCCAGCGTTTGAAGGACAGCCTCCTGCAGATCAGAGTATTTTACTGATATACAATTATCTTTGGTGAACAGTGATAGGAAGGTGGAGAAGCAAAAAACATCTGTGCTTTAAGTAGAAAACAGAACCAAAATGACAAAATAAAAGTTCTTCTAAAAACCTGGCAGACCAATGAACTGGAGTTTTAGCTACTATTATGCAAGAAACCAAAACATCCCATAACAGACTTGATATGAAGCATGCTGTAATGTTTTTTCCTGCCAGAACATCAGACAATATACTATTTCCTGGAAAAAAAAAAATACTATTTAAGCTTGAACTACAAAGAAGGCTTCATCCTTTCACTTTGAAGCACCACCCGACTCATTGCAGCAAGCCACACGAAGACAGTGAGCTAACAGGTCGTGAGAAACACCTTCAGAACTACCTCAGCACGTTGGCAAAGGCTTTGCTTTGAGACTCAGGGGAACTTTTATACTGGCACAGCTATCCAGAGAAAAGGATTTAATTCTGCGGACAGTAATACGAAAGTGATCATTAACACAAGTCTGCTTTCTCTGCTAGAACTGTCTATCTGAATGTTTTGGAACTCTGGCTGTTAATTCAAAGAAATCGGGCAGTAAGAGCCCAGTTAGGTGCTTCTGATGTTAGTGACAAGCTTTACTCCCACCATTCTCAGATGCAAGCGCTAGAAAATATTTACCAAGAATCATGATGAGCTGGGCTTGTTTTGTTCTATTTTTAAGTTGTCCCAGGAGGCTAGTTAAGAGCGGGGAAAGGCCCGACATTACCACAGAGCTCCTAGAAAGAGTTGAGTCAACCTCATAACAACTTCCAGGAAAACAACCTCCAGCATTCCTATGGGCTTCTGAGGCATAGCCATGGCTTCAGGGGAAAACCTACTCACGTTTTACCCGACGCCTCTAGTTTTCATTTATACCTACAGCATATGTAGTATATTTTGCAGAGCATACGGAGAAAGTTGATGAAGCAGCATTGATGGGGTTCTTGCCTTTTTTTCCCACATTTCCATCTGTCTTTTCAGATGGAATAAGCTAAGTAATTCTTTCAACTACACTACTCAGACAACCCAAAGCAGCAGTAGCAACCTATATCTCTTTAAAGCCATTTTCTTTTCCCTTCGTCAGTTCAACAATACTGTCCCTCTTAGACAAGGCCAAGCACCAGCTCCTTACTGCATACCTTGGGATGCCCACCTGAAAGGCTGAAGCAAAAATCACAGGCAAACACTACACTTCCATCACAGAGCTCAAACACGGGCGAATTGAAACACCTAGTCTTCCTCACACTGCAAGCCCACAACCCTGAAAGCTATTCCTTTTTTAATCCTATCTTTCAGTCCTATCTCCCTGGATTGCCATACCCTATCGAGAACGACAGTACAGAAACTTCTCCTTCAGGTGACGGGGGCAGGGGATGTTTCTGGAAGCACAGTTCGGCCGAAAAGCGCGCCTGCAGATCTCACCGCGTTGGCTCAGCCACTCGCGGGACGCTCCCTCGGTGCTAATGGGTTCCGCGGGACGAGGAGGAGCCTGCCTGCCTGCGGGCCCCCGCGGCCCGGCCCGCTCCTCCGCAGCGGGTACCCCCCGCCCGAGAGACCCGCGGCCGCCCCGGCAGATCGCCGCGGTCCCGCGGGGCCCTCGCCTGCCGCCGGCCGCGGGTGGCTCCGCCCGCGGCCTACCCCCGCTACCGCGGGAAGGGGCCGGGAACGGCCTCACCGCCGGCCCAGTCCGACGAAACGGCTCCGCCAGCCGCCCCGAGCGCCGCCGCAGGCGCGGCCCTGGGGAGCGGCTCCCCGCAGCCTCCGGCTCCCCGCCTGCCGCCCGCTCCCCTCCCCGCCACCCGTCCTCACCGAGCCCGGCGAGCGATCCCGCGCGGACAGGCGGAGCCGGCGGCCCTCGGCCTCCGCGCTGAGAAGCGGAAGGACGCCGCGACCACCGGCGCTACCGCTGCCGCCGGCGGCCAGGGCCAGCGGGGCGGGGAGAGGAGGCGGGGCCGCCGGCGCCGATCCCCGCCGCTCCGCTGGGCCGCGGCGCAGGCTGGGGGCTGGAGGCCCGGGGCCTGGGGCGGGCGGGCAGGCCGCGCCGCGCCGCGCCAGCCCGGGCGGGGAGCGGCTCGGCGGCGGCGGTGTGCGGTCCCGGCGCCGTGAGGGGACGAGTTCGGCAGGCGGGAGCAGAAGTTTGCCTCTGGTTTCACCGGGCCCCGGACGGGGAGCTGCGCAGCGCCATCAGATTTGGCTCTCGGCTTCTCAAATCCCTCCTGCCTGCCTCTCAAGTCCCCAGAGAACTCCCGCAGCTCCCTCGCTTCGGGCACATCGCAATCTCTAAGAAAAATACAGCGGTTTTCTTTCACTCCCCCACTGTGAGTTAAGGACCAGCTGGGACTTTAAGGCGAGCCTGCAGTTAGAGGATCTGGGAACTGAAAAAGGCTCTGGAGTAGAACCCAGGTAGCTTTAAGAAAATTATATATATATATATATATATATTTAATGTGTGAAAAAAAAAATATGTAAGCAGAACAGTACTTAAATTTCACATCACAAAATCACCAAAAGGCTATGGTCTGTTCAAAAGGTCTAAGATTAAGTTTTAAACAGGTGACAAACCTGAACTGAATAGATCTTACCTTAATGTTCTCCGAAAAGCGATTTGCTGTGTTCAAGTTCTTCCTGCTATACGGCTAAAACTATCACCTCCTGCACCATTTTCTCCCCTGTCCAGAGCTACCAACATTGGTACATCCTCCTCTTCATCACTCAACTTTAAACTCCTTTTATCAGTGCTACATGTGGAACAGCAATGGGACTCTATCTTCCATCATCATCATTACGTTCTAATCAGAATCCAAAAGCTTATCTTTTCTTGGATTTTCATGATCATTTCTCAATGTAAAGAATAAATCAACATAAGGTACCTCATCCCATTTGTCTTGTCACTGACAAAACAACATTAATTACAAAATAGTATTATGTTTCAATGATGCCTTCTCGGGCCATTTTTCCCCACCCTCCAACTAAACAGTGGCCACTATTTAGTACAATATTCAATTAGCCATTCCCTTGTTAACGAATCTCCTCCAAATTTTCCCCAATGTTTTATAATACACCCAAGAGGAGAACAAGGAGTCATTTTAGACAGCTGAGCTCCCATATTTTACCCCCCAAAAGAACGTTCTGATCCACGACTTCATGTACTCCAGTCATCACTGTCAAATGTATGTGAATTTACCTACTTTACCAGCAATCCCCCCTTATGTGCATACACAACCTTACATCAAACAATATCTCTTTTATCAAGCGTTGCACCGTTGTGTCGCTTACCCACTCTGGTCGGGGAGAATACTCATGGAATCTCCGATCAAAAGGTCGGTGTGCGCTGGAGTCCAGAGAGCAGGGTCTCCCCGCCAAGAGTCAGCAAGTCGATCCGGGCAAGGCGTTACAGTTGTCCCATCTGGATCACCAGAAACTGTTGTCCGAAAAGTGGATTCGTGCCCGGCGTGCAATAAACCAATTTCCACACGCTCAGGAGAGATATTGTGTTTATTCAGGCCTGGGTGCTCGGTGGGATTTCTACAGATCAAGCACACCAATAGGAAGTTTCAGTGCTTCTTTTATACACAAAAATCAGAGGTTGCTACTTTTCCAAACACACCTACTAGATACTGATTGGTTAGTAATTTACATACAATTATAATAGTGCGGACTCAATACTTCTGCTACTAGGCATGCTCAGGGGAAGGGTCTTGACCTGGGCAGGGGTTTTTTTGACCTGTGGATGTGGTTTTTAGTGTTATAATGAAGGCAGTTCACTTCAGAACACTTTAAAAGTTAGTTCAATTGCCAGGTTAATTAATCGAATAGTCACTTTGCCAGATTGTCAAATAACTCATCCTTAACACAATCAATCCTGGGTAGTCTCATTATGAT